ATTTCTTTGTTATTTTCAAATTAAGCGTGTAAATTTACACGTAAATATAACTATTCGCGATGTTTTTTGGGGGAATTCAGGTACTCTTGTAACCCTGCTGATCTTTGACTTCGTTTCACTGTTCCTTATCCTATCTATCAAATGCAGTTTTTCATTTACTGTCTATGCTTTACGTTTAGACATTTTGTATTACTACTAGGGGTCGGAATTTCCCGGGAATTCCCGAGTGCAACCCCTAATTACTACGTGCTATTTGTTTACTTATGAGAGATTCTTGATGTCTACTGTTGGACAGTCAAATTGAACATGATCAACCAGAGAAAAGCACTCCTATTTATATCCCATCCATGGTATCTGATTGCAGTGATTGAATTCCTGTTAATTAGTCCGATATTATCGGAACTCTTTGATCGCGCGCGAAATAGAAATATAAAGTAATCATGTGTAATTATTACCAATACAATTGGATTAAGCGTGAAACGGCTGAGGTGTTAAAATTTCGCAAAATTTAGGCTGTTTGATCATCAAATTCAAGGTAAAACGTGTGGAAAATTAATGTAATTATTAAAACAAATTAGGACCCATCTGATGATCGCTGTTTGTTCTGTCGATCGTGAAGAAGATGGCCCAGAAATTGGTAACATAGGGTAGAATTTCTAAAAAAGTGAGCGATATTGAGGGTACGAGAACAAAATCATGGGGTTCACCACCCACCCGCAGTACACCGAGTACCGCGGTAAAGTGATTCGCTTAATAGCGGTGGTATTAAGGCCACTTGACGTGTGCTGATACCTGGATCGTCTCCAACAGCCTGTGGAATGTGTTCTTCGTGGTCAAGCGGACGTGCAGATCTCGATCGATTCTTTGTAGTGATCCTTTCTCAGCAACGCAACGATAATTGGCAACAAAGGTTGGATGACACGGTTGCCTTCGACCAGGAAACGCAATCTGATACATCCGTGCAGCCTTACGTCTAATTCCATTCGCGCGGTCGTATGTAAACATCATATCTGCCTGCTCACAATAGGAATATCCTGCCATTGTTAAAGAGAACACTTCTCATTTAACTCATTACTACACGCGTTAAACGTTGAAGACAGACTAGCCACAAATGTACACGAAAGACAAATGTAACCTCGTCTACAAGGCAACATAGCGCCATCTAAAATAAACTGTCTTTAAAATTAATAACTCAAAAACGAAGGATGTGGCCACATGTTTATATGGACCAAGATGATATTATATAGATTTTATATACCAGAATACTGTTAGGAAAATTAATGACAATTTTTCCATATATATATATATATATATATATATATATAAAGAAATATAGTCTTAAGGTGTGCTATATTTATCAGAGATAGAGCGTGTGTAAATATAAAGTGAACATAGAAGTCAACACTTAGAGGCGACAGTCTGTTTCGATTGCATATAGCATGAAACAGACTGTCGCCTCTAAGTGTTGACTTTATGTTCACTTTATATATATATATATATATATATATATATATATAATTTCGCTACATGACGATATCTGATTGGTAGAAAACCCGATAGTAGAAACGTTGTTTTTAAAAATATTTTATTGACTATTTTATACAAGTTTCGTTAAAAACGACTGAGAAGAAAATTATAAGAAAACAAGAAAAATATCTAAAAAACTTAACCACAGTACCGTTTCAGGTTATTACTACTACTCTCTGCAACAATGCCTATCCGTTGGACATCGTTCAATCAATAATCAAGAATAAAATTGCTGAATTCAATAAAGTTAAACCTGCTATAGTACAAAGATGCCCTGTGTATCTGCGCCTTCCTTGGCTGTGTAATATCAGTGATAGATATGCTAAGCGGGTTTCCTTAGCAGTTCGACATTGTAACTTTACCTGCTAACACTCGTGTAGTCTTTTCTGCCAAGCCTGTCCTTCCATCCATACGGAAGGACGTTCTCCCTTCACATCATAATAGTTCTTTAATTTATTCCTTTAAATGTAGTTGTGGCTCACACTACATAGGGAGAACGACTCAAAGGCTGGATGACAGAATAAAGCAACACGTTCCAACGAAATTCCGTAATTTTAAGTACACTCCTTCAGACATTCTGACCAATACATACGGGTCTTCAATCGCAGAGCACTTAATAAATAGCCATAATTGCGCCATTAATTTCAGAGTGGAATCATTTACTATTCTTAGCAAGTCCCACTCGAATTACCACCTGAAAGTGTTGGAGGCCATTTATATTTTATCTTTGAAGCCCTCTTTGTGTAAACAGAAGGATTTCGTAATGGGCCTCCAACTAATTTCTATCTAACCAATATTTTTCCCCCAATACATATTGTCCATCTCTTTTAGTGATAATTCTATTATAATTTATTAACCTCGATTTAGCTCTGTTGAGCGAGGTTCGAAACCGGTTAGTGTTATGAGATCTTACCCATAATAATAACAATGGACTATTCCATACTTAATAAATACTGCGCTTCAGGAGTAGGCAAGAAGTCGAGTCAAGAGTCGAGTCAGAGGCAGTCCGAAACAGAGTCGCGTTCAGACAATTACTGCAAGACATTGGAATAATGATACTGGTCGAGACTACATTATTCTCTCTACTAAACCTGATTGTTCATACTAACACTTCTACTTCTCTGTATATATTCCTGTTTGCAATATATCTGTGTTATTCCATACCTGTGTTTGAGTTCTTCTTTATTGGTTCTACCTTGGACTATCACCGTGGTACAAGGAACCGGACCATAACAGTTAGCTAGCCCGTTTTTCAGTTTTATTTTTCTGTCTCGAGTGGCTCGTTGGCCTTTTATAAGGTGAACAATATTGTAAAAAGAAATACAACATATCCCCTTTCAATAAAAAAAAAAATCTGCTTTGCTTTAAGGTCACTGACCTTGCTAAAAGATTCAGGCTAAAGCTTGGGTAATTGAACAAACAAAACCTCAAACTCAGAATAAATTTCTTCTCGCTTAATATGCGAAGGAGGAACACAAAAATCCAATCCACGCGAGAGGATCGATAGTTCTAGCGCGGACAACTTGTATGAAGAAAGATTCAGAACATTCTAACCAATACCAGGATTAGCAGAACACCCATTTTTTTAATAAATGAAATGCTGCAATTTATTCTGATGTTTATTCGCAAGTCAAGAACGACTGCGCTCATGAATAAGTGCAGCATAACGGACAAAACGATTCCTATTAAAATAGGAAAGTAAGCCCATTGTATTACTCCATAATTGATAATATATCTTATATAATTTGGTAAGACTATAAGGGAGCTTACATTATGTATTGGGGAAAAAAATATTGCTTAGATGGAAATTAGTTGGAGGCCCAATATGAAATCCTTCTGTTTACACAGAAAGGGCTTCAACGATAAAATATAAATGGCCTCCAACACTTTCAAGTGGTAATTCGAGTGGGATTTGCTAAGAACAGTAAATGAGTCCACTTAGAAATTAATGGCGCAATTATGGCTATTTATTAGGTTCTCTGCGATGGAAGACCTATGTATATTGGTCAGAATGTCTGGAGGAGTGTTCTTAAGATTACGGATTTTCGTTGGAATGAATATTAAAATAGTTAACATGTAAAGATTTTAGAAGCTTGTAAAAAAGCCAAAAACACAAACATACACACATCAGAAACGAAAGGAGATTTTTGGAATAAATCATGAAATTCTCAGAAATATTCACAATCAAAAATAAAAAAAAATATAACCGTGCATATTTATTTATTTAGATTAGTTAAGCTCATAAAAATGAACATGCGGGTAGGCTAACGATTTTCAGTACCGAAAGAGGAAATGGCGAGTTGAGTTCAAATTCCGGTATAGTATGTTGCATTCATTTTCGCACTAATAGCCTTGGGAATAATATAACTCTTTCACTTCTCGCATCCACTGATATAGGTTAAATAGCAGAGTAGACTGAGCTCCATAGCTTTGGGTAGCAGCAATTTTGAAAAAGGAAAACTGAATCCCAAATTGTGGAGAAGGCAAAAGGGAACTAGTCCTCTGTCTTTCCCAAGAAATCTTGGCAATTCACAAATAACCAAGAAAAGGAATATGTAAGAGAGTCATTATTGCCTATTAGGACATAGGCCGGCCATGTTACGTTACTTCACGAATCTTGAAATGGTACGGCATTAAAAAATGGTATAAAATAGTTATATATTGTTGATAAACCCTGATTTAATGCATATATGTAGTTTAAGAAATGTTCAGTTTTTTTAAGTGGGTGAACGTGAAATTATTTCCATACTTTTAGCTTTCAATGTTTTGGGGTCGGATGTATTGTGATTGTGTTGTTCAGTGGAAATATATACAGCTAACATTCAGTGGTCTCCAACCTACTGAGTCAGTTTTCCGACAGACGAGGTTTTCTAATGTTGTGTTGAACAGTTCTGGGTTCTTTAATATGGTTAACAGGTTTTTCTTAAAGCTCGGCAAATAACGACCGTCAGGATTTTTAGAATATTATTTTGGTCGAAACGTTTGGAGACCGACTGAGTGTTAGTTGAAGATGATGAACGTAGAAGATGACCAATCACCAACAAAATGCAAGAAAATGTGATGGAAAGATTGTCAACTCATAGATAAGGAGCTTCGCGTAACAACCCGTCAGCGCACTCAGCTGTTTGGCATTATTTATAGAGATTGCCAAGAGGTGTGGACGCTTTTCGATCTTATCTCATACAAAGTCGTCGTTAAACTGTTCTGCCATTAATAACAGGTTTATAATCCATGATCATGTTTGAATTTAATGTTTTTGAAATCAAAAATTAAAAAAAAAATATAATGATATTTCACACCAGTAGACTGAAATTTCCCCCTGTTGATTGGAATTCAACTATTGTTAACCGGAATTCTTTCCTGCTTGTTAAGTATGTAGTACCCACGAGACATGAACATTATTATTCTGTAGAGAGCATCGTCCGCCAAAGAAATTGAGTTAATAGACCAGATAAACAATTCTTTTTTTCACTTCACTGTTGACGACATTGTTTTTGTTTTTCTGTTAATTCAACCTCGTCCAAAGTTTCCTCGCTGGCACCAAAATTCGGAAGCAGATCACGTGACTTCCGTTTTGATTTGTAAATCTTCTTTTTATTCTTAAATTTCTTCTCATCTTTGCGACTGCTCTCTGGAATGTCAATTTCTTCCAGATTTTGAATGATTGCCTCCTCTTGTGACAACTCTCGAGTCATGAAAGGGTACCTCTGAGAATGTTGCCCATTGTTTGTGTGAACAGCGCAGTCAAGATCACCAATTTGATTCACACTGATCGGCTTTTCGAAGTCGCTGTTCCCAGATAAAATTTCATCATTAAAAATATCCGAATCGCTTTTTGATCGACTCACTTTCTCGTTGCTGCTTTCGGCCATGTTCTTCTCGTTCGAATCGAACGAGAGGATTCTTGACAAGCCGGCAAAGTGCCCATCAGCTGATTCTGTTGAGTCATCAGACAGATGTCGATTTTTCTTATTTATATATTCTTTGAATTTGTCTTGTGCTGATAGCATTTCGATCCGAATCTGATCAATTTCGTCCTCATGTGATCTTTTCAGCTCTTGAATCAAAACTTCAAATTTTCTTTCCAGTTTTTCCTTTTGCAAAGCGAGTTCATCAGTATGACGATTTCGAGTTTCTTCCATTTCCTTCAAGAATGCCTCGTGAGAACTTTTTGTCCTCAAAAGATCAATATGTACGCGCCCAAGTTCTTCTTGGTACAAAGAATATGTGTTTTCGTTTTCGCTCAGTGTTTTCTTTACGGTATGTTTGCATTCTTCCAATTCGGAACGGAGAGCCTTTATTTGCTCGTCACGATTCTCAATCTCTTGTGTTTTATTCTGGTTCTCCTCTTTCAACTGTTCGATTGCTTTTCCCAGCTCTTCGATCTTATCCAGCAGTTCTTCGATCTCCCTGACTCGCTTCGCGAGTTCATTTTCTCGGGTTCCTAGACTGATCTTTAAATCAGAAATCTTTTCATCCAGTGCATCTGTCTTTTCTTTGCACATCTCCCCAATGTCTTCGATCTCCTTCTCATGCTGATGTCTCACGTTATCTAACGAGTTTTTCAAGTTATTTATTATCTCCTCTCGCTCTTCAATGCTTTTCGCTTTCGCAGCCTCGCTTTCGTCAATCGAATCTTTCAAACTGCTAAGATTATCCGCCATCTTTTTTAACTCTTCCGAATGCCGAGAACGTTCTTCTTCTAGTTGTCGTTCGTAATTTGCTGCCTTCTCATCGGTTTCTATCTGCAACTGTTGAACATGGCTAAGTTCCTGAGCAATCACTGCCAGCTTTTCGTCGTCAGTGTTCTTGGGATCCTGTTGGTTTATGTTGTCATAAGCATCTTTTGGAATTAGTTTTCTTAGATAAGAGTTTTCTTTCTCTAGTTCTTCAATTTCCTTTTGCAGGCTTATTTTTTCCGAAGATAACCTTTCTTCTGCCTGTATGACTTGATTATTTAGATTGGCGATATCTTCAAGTAGAGGCCGAACTTCGAGATTCCACGTTTCTTCATCTTCATTGCCTTTTACAGACGGCATATCTTTTGGCGAATGTTCGTCTTTACATGGATGATAAAAGGGGTTTGTTGAATGCAGCGTTTCCCCACTGTTCTTCCTTACTTGACCCAAATATTTCGTGGTATTGATATGATCATTAGCTTTTCTCAAATTGGAGAGAGCTTGTTTCAGATACCTCACTTCCTCACGGAGTCGACCAGTTTCAGTTGATTCCTTGTTTTTCTTTGCAAGTAATTCAGATTTCAAACGTCTTATTTCATCGTAAAGCTGCATGGATCTTGCCCATTCATCAGCATTTTTTGCAGTTGTCATCGCCAGAAAATCTTTCTTTATTTCTTCGAATTCTTCATCAATATGCCCCTGAGCGTTCTTCCAGATTTGTTCTTTCTCTATATTCTTCAAGGCAAACATTTCTGCCTTCAAAGAATTCATTTTTTCTTCGTATTCCATTCGAATATCTGCTCGTTTTGCTTCATCATCGACAAGTTCCAAAGTTTGAAGTTCTTTAATCACAGAACCTTGACTTATATTTGCATCAAGAAGAGCATCAGATTTTGAATCTGGCCATTGGCATTCGATATTTGGAAATTCCGAAGCATGAACATCATTCTGCGACAGCAGTTGAACGACTCCGTTGAGTCGATTTATCTCGTTTACCATCAAATGTATATCTTCAGGAGTTTCTTCCCATTTTACAACATTCATTTCATTAATTGTGTCTTTCAGAGATTCGATCTCTTTTTTCGATAACTCTAATTCTCTTTCTTTGGCATCAACCAAAAACATCCATTCTTTTTCGCGATCCGTATTCTTTAAACTGGACACTTCACTTCGTAGACTGTTCAGTTCGTCTTCGATTTCTTTTCCATTTTTTATCCATGAAAATCCAGGAGCTCCGTTTTTCAAGAACATGATCTCATCTTTCAAACAGGCCACTTCTTCGGAATGGTTTTTCTTCAATTTTTCCACCTCCTCAAATATATCTCCGTTTTCATTCTGCCGCAATATCTCGATCTCATTTCGCAGGGATTCCACTTCTTGAAAATGGTGCCTTTTCAGTTCCTCCACCTCTTCAGAAATGTCACTTCCTTCAAAGATTTTTAGTTCCTCAATCTCGTCGCGTAGACGGTTAACTTGCTTTTCGTGTTCTTGTTTTAGTTCTTCGACTTCCAACCAAAAATCTCCGTTTTCAACCGATCTTAACTTCGCTATTTCAACATTCAAATGTTGGACTTCTTCTTGATGCTTACTTTTTAGTTCCTCCACTTCTTCAAATATATCTTCATCTTCGTAATCCCGATTCTCTTCGATTCGATCTTTTAGGTATTTTATTTCTTCCATATTTTTCTTATTCAATTCTTCCAGTTCCTTGACGTATTCTTCACTAAATGGCGATTTACATGCGTTCAAATTTGAATATTTCATTTCGCTGCCTTTCTTGTTCATTCCAACCTCAAACGGGATTACCGTTCCCAATTCTCGTACATGCGAGTCTCTTAGTTCATTGACGTTATCTTGTACGATAAAGTCGAAGTCGCTTTCACTTATGCCATTTCCAGCCATTAGTAGTCCGGCCGACCCATTAAACAACATATCTTCATTACCTGGTTGTTTTTTTCTATGCACTTCCAAATTCAATCTGTCTATCTCCATTTCGTATGCATTCATTTTTTCTTCCCAATCTTTCGCCCCTGCCTGTAATTCTTCTATTTGCTCGTGTAAATTCTCAAGTTCACCCTCATAGACTCTCCTCAATTTGGGCCATTCTTTCCACTGATCCTCATTCGCTCTCAATTCTTTAAGTTCTTCGTCCAACTTCATCAATTCTATGTTGTAAATTTTGTGAATTTCCTCAAGATCGTCGCAATTTCCAGTCATGAATTTCTGCGTTCCCAACTCCAGGTTCAGTTGACGGACATCTTTTCGTAAGTTGTTAATAGTGTCTTTATTCTCAGAGTTTATTTGTTCAAGCATCTTCTGTAACGAGCGTAGCTCTTCGATTTCTTCATCTTTCGCCTTCATAACGTCGTCTGATGCATTTGTTTGGGTCTTTGAATGTTTTATTAAAGGCTGACGTTTTAATTTCTCTGTTGCCCCTATTTGGTTTCCTCGTTTCTTCAATTTCTTTTCTAAATCATTGGCTCGATTCCGTTCTTTGACTGCACTCGAGTAGGCCTTTTTAAGAAGTGTGCGCAAATTGTCAACGATTGATTCGAAGCTTTTAACGTCGCCATCAAAATCGTTTGGATCCTGGGATTTGTGCATTTTCTGGTCTTTTTCTTACCAATTATCTGCAATTAATAAAAAGAAAACCAAATAACATTTACTATAAAGCACATTAAACTTTTCGATAAGAATATTATTTGATAAAACAACCAATTAACTCGATTTTATTACTGTTGAGTTTTATCCCAATAATCGAGGACTCTTCAATTGCAAAATAACCGGGAAATCATACTTATTATAAAACCCAGGTTGTGTGTGTGTGTGTGTGTGTGTGTGTGTGTGTGTGTGTGTGTGTGTGTGTGTGTGTGTGTGTGCGTTTATATATTGGATCGGATTTCCTACATTTTTCAACCGATTTCAACAAAAATTGGAAAAACACAATTGTTTTTGCATGAAATCAATTTGAAAACACGATTAAGAGGCATCACGAGAATGAAAGAGGGACAACTCATATCGAGTTATACTTATAAAACCCAGGTTGTTTGTGTGTGTGTGTGTTCGTTTATATATGGGATCGGATTTCCTACATTTTTCAACCGATTTAAAAAAAACTTCACTTTTTTTTGGCAGGTAGTGTTTCTTATTGTCTTGCACACTTTTTTCTTTATCTTTACATTCAGAATGCTTTAAAAATTCCATTTATAAGACAATTGTTTATAATAAAATTCTATTCAATCGGTAGACTCATCATAACGATTGAAAACAATGTTTTTGTTTGAGTTTGACCAATTCGTAAAAAAAAAAAAAAAATAAACTAATTAAGACACGTGTGTCCGTCAACCTTAACCAATAATCTTTGTCAATTTTTTTTTTCAGTCTTTATGATGGTCGATACTTGATCTATCTCTTACTGTTACATCTCCGGGCAACGCCGGGATCTCCTGCTAGTAAGAAATAAAAAAAAATTACCATATTTTCTAGACGAGCTCCGATTTGCATTTAATATTACATTATTATATTTTTACGGCTAGTGGCTGTTATCACCACAAGTTCTTTCCAAAGGGATCTGAGCATTCAATATTTCCTCCACATGTTTATTATGATTCTGTAAAAATACACCCCGAGGAAGAAAATGTAGCAGCTAAATGTTGATGAGAAGACAATCATAAGTAAAGGCATTGCGACTACACAGCTTGTGTATTTAACTGAAGGCGAATATATTCTAAATTAATACTAACCTACAATTACGGACAACAATTATACTTAACACTAGTGTTGTATGCGACTAACATCAGGAAATACTAAATTGTCTGAATGGAATTTAATGTCCTAATGTTTAAATATACAAAAATAGAAAGGGGTGTAAGTCTAGGATGTCTCTTCTCACTGGACATATTTGAGGCGATTCTGAGAGAATTAGAAGTCCTATCAGGATTCATTATTGGCGGTCACATTCTTAACAACGTAAGATATTCAAATGAAACAGTGTTGATAGTAGACACAGAAAGGAAACGGTAGAAACTCCTATTGAAAATAGCAAAGGAAAGTGAGAAGAAAGGACTAAACGTCAATTGTAAGAAGAGAAAAAGTATCGTTGTCAGCAAGAGGAACAATCAAAGATGCTAACTCTAGTGGTAATAATAATATTAGCTTCTTCCTTATAAGGAAACATTTGCCGTTCATTAACCGAATAGCCAGTACTCTGTCGCTAGCGCAGCCGACTCTGTTCACTTTCCTTCTCTGCAATAAGAAGTTTGTTATAAGTGATCCATACACTGAAGTATTTGAAGTGTTTAATATTTTGTAGTAAGAAGGAATAAAGATCGAAGGAATGTTCTATGAGCTTGTTATGGGACCTTACCCATAATAACATAATGGACTATACCATACGTAATAAATACTGCGCCTCAAGAGGAAGCAGGGAGTTCAGTCCAAAGTCGGGCGACCGGCGGATCGTTTGATCGGTTGAACTCTTTGCCTTCGTGTGGGGAGGAACCCGAACGAGGCTACGCCGAAGGGCGGAGTCTCTTTCAGGGAGGTAAACCGACCTTGAACCCGTTTATACCGGTTCAAAGGGCATATTTTTGGCCGAGCCCACGGGCTCGGAGATCCAACGTTAAACCGGCCTTGTGCCACATGATGCCCTCGTCGGGGGTGACTAAATACTGTTCAGTCTGAAGTCTGGAGTGAAGTCCGTCAGAAGTCCGTCAGGAGTCTGTCAGTCAGTCAGAGCGAGCGAGTCAGTCAGTCGAGTAAGAGGCAGTCCGAAACAGAGTCGCATTCAGACAATTACTACTAAACCTGATTGTTCGTACTAACACTTTCTTCTTCTCTGTATATATTCCTGTTTGTAATATATCTGTGTTATTCCATATCCGTGTTCGAGTTCTTCTTTATTGATTCTACCTTGGACTATCCGTGATACAAGGAACCGGACCATAACAGAGCTGTAAGTCTTATCCCAAATAAAAGTCGTTTTTTTATAAAAACAGCCCTCCTTGTTGAATAGGGTTGAATAGGTCGGTGCGTACGTATATGTGTGTAAAAAGTTTCATAGAAGAAAAATAGTGCAAGATATCGAGCATCCAACTGTCGCTAATCGTGAGCGATAATGAAAATTTTACAGCAAACCTCCTCCAGTTAAATGGCATGGAAGAAGTCTTGAGATGACATCCAGTCTAGGAGAAGGAAAACCAGCCCGAGGAGGGATGAGCTCTGTGGAGACATCTTGTCCAAGAGACACCACTGCTATTATGACTGCAGTAAATATAGTGCCCCTAGGACTCTAATGGACGACAGGGCGCGTGACGTGACGTGACGTGACGTGACGTGACGACATTCAATAGCACCAGCTGACAACTGTTACATACAATTTCAGGAAATAATCATGCCTACAAATCAATAGACAATTTCAACGGAGTGAAAATGAATGTACTGGCTGAACAGTAGGAGTAAGGAGTAGCAACTTAAAAAATTATTATTATTATTTCATCTCAAGCAAAGCAATAATGCCACTGAGACTCGAGGGGTTGCTGAGAAAGAAAGGGAATGAGAAGATTTTAGTGAGGAGAAATTACAATAATAATTCAGGGAGACAGAAAATGGCAAGAGACGTTACACTTAAATTTTTGAACATTGTAGGTGGCAGTGAAGCAAGAAATTGGAAAGGGCTTCCACAGAGGAGAAGTGCGAGAAAAGAAACTATTAGAATAGAATTTACTTTTACATCGAACTATTTAAAAAATAAAACGATGAACCCTAGTTACTAATCTTGTAGTACACTTAAATTCATGCGGTCAAGGTACCAAGTGAGAAAGCACATTAGAGCAATCGCCATCAGGAAGCCACTTCACGGTGGTGGGAAAGTAACTGAAAACTATATATATATATATATATATATATATATAAAGAAAGAACAGTAAGATATATAATCCGGTGTTCTTATAGATATTTTTATTTTCACAAAATAGTGCACAATGTAAATTTACAGAGCATTAATATTATAAATTAACTGATTTAAAATATGTTTTTTTTCACTACACAGTTCTAACCATGTTTCAAAAATGGAAGCTAATTTTGGAGTAACTTATTTTTAAATTTACTGAGTTTTAGGCACGGTACAAATTCATAATTCACGTTTCCAAGGATACAGAGAAGTACATTCATCCAGACAAGGGGTGGTTGTGTGTTCATTTTCATTAACTTTTGTTGTATCAGTTATTAGTTACGTTTGAAAAAGGGGTTACGCTTAGGTAGGGGTAGGGATGTATTTATCAACGTATTCTGACATCCGTTAACTGCATGTCGCTTGGATTTTTAAAAAATTGTATTGTTAACGGCAAAAAATTCTCACGGCATTTTTCTATTTGTATACTTAAAGATTTTTTGGGAATGTTTAGTTTAGAATACGTTTTATTTAACTACAATTTAATGGAAATGAAACTAATGTCTTTAATTTAATTACAAAACTAAATCCGAAGCTTTTAGCTTCAATTTTTGAAAACATGGTTAGAACTGTGTGGCGAAAAACCATATTTTAAATCAGTTATATATATATATATATATATATATATATATATATATATATCTTCAAGCTATACTATATTTATGGTTTAAAGTGCTCGATATCAGGGAGAGAGTATATGTAACTATAAAAGTGGATATTGAAGTCAACA